CCCCAAAACCCCAAAACCCCAAAACCCCAGCATCTGTGACAGTTATTGAAACTGATGAATTTATTAGACCCAAATATTCACATGACCTAGTCCACAGTTCTCCAAGATCTCCTTTATTTTTTTCTTCTTCATTCCACAGCTCTCCATCCACATCCACTTCAAGTTTTCCCTGACGGCGTCGACCTGTGCGAGCCCAGCCATCAAGTTGCTGAAGCACGAGCTGTCCTCTTCCCAGTCTCCATGGTCGCTATCTCCTGAGGAGGAGAGACTTAATTGTTGAATGTTGGAGTTAGCCATGGAGTCAGGGAAGGAAGGCACAGAAGATATGTGCACAATGCAGGAGTCGAAGCCAAAGTGTGTAACTTTGTGAAAGGCAGCGAGGAGGGCGATGGTCTGGGGCTGGGAGATCTTAAAATTATGAAGATAAACCAACTCTGTCACACAAGGAGCAGCCACCAGCAAGGCAGAGTGGTACAGGTCAATGCTCTCAAGAGCAGAATTAAAATTAAAAACAAAAGTCTGTACTGTTTTGGGGAAATACTTGGCAACACAATGCCTTGCCTCTTGACTTTCTCTAGGAATATTCCTAATCAGCAATTTTTCTAAATCAGGAAGTCTTTTGTCAAGCCCCTTGATCACATTCATATCTCCTGGATAATTCATCCATAGTCAAAGCTTAGTAACTGGTCTAAAAGGCTGTCTTCTTCCCTTTTGAAGCCAATAGTAGTAGTCGAAGTCTGTCGAAGAGAAGGTGAGTCTGTCCAGAGTGGGTTTTGGCTGAGCAGGCGTGAATTTTAGAGGAGAAGTTTGGCTTGAGCAGATGTAAAAATTAGCCATCACTTCTTCTTTCAGTAATCTCCAATAGGATTCGTCCTTAAGCTTAGAAAAGATGTCTTGCTTGCTCATCGCCTTCTTCAGCAGGTTGATTTCTTTATCAAGATCTTCAAATTCGTGAAGTTTTCCTTCCTCTTCAATGTCTATGGCCCTAAGTTTAAGCAGTACTAGTTTCTGTTCCCAGCGTTGATGCAACTCTTGGATATCTCCTTCATATCTTTGGCAATCTTGGGTGTATGTAAAGAAGTTCTGCAGTGCCTTTGAAACTATTATAGCCTTAATTTTGAAGCTCCTCACAGTAGGCTTTGTCTGGCCTTCATTCTCCAATGATTTTAGATCGAATGGGTCCTCTTGGTAAGGTTCTTTTGAATCTTCAGCACCTCCAGCAGCACCAGAAGATAAATATTTGGATGCGATATTTTGATTGCTTTCCATATTTAATAATTATTAAAATATCGCAACCAATATATAATCATTTCAATCCATGAATCACTCCGTGGGGTTTTGGGGTTTTGGGGTTTTGGGG